CTAAACCGTGAAAATCACAATACTGCCCACATTTCTTAATTATCCTAAGAAGTTCGGTAATTATCCATATTTTCGGTCGGAAGTTGTGATCTCAAAGACATAAACGGGTAAACGACCTTTAGGATTGACTGCTGTGGTCTAAGAATTTTTGTGAGGTGGTAGGTTCCATCAAAATACCAAATACATATATATCAGCTATTGCTCGTTTTTTATGCTAAATAAAAGGAGATAGAAAAATGAGATTTGACGAAATTTTAAAAGTCAAAAGTTTTCAAGAACTAGTATTGAGAGGAATGCCAAATAGTCACTGAATTTATTAAGATATCAATAACTATGAGTATTTCACACAAAGTAGCGCGAAAAAGGTCCAATGTTTTTTTATTAATCTTTCACCTTTATTGACTTGGATGTTCTTTCAGATCTATGAAAAAATTATAGTTGTAAGTGGTTATTACCTTGTCAGAGAAGATATAAACAGTTGTGTTGGGAGATCTTTTGTCATGTTCATTTAATTTTTTAAATTAATTTTACGAACCTCTACTTTATTTCTCAGAAAAACTAAAGAACAATACAATGCTAGTTCCATTTTTTTTTCAACGGAATAATAGAGTAAACTCATTAATATTTAAATATTTGAATTCCTGTTACAGCACGTAATAATGGAAGTTTTTTACATATTTTATATGTTTTGTAACTGAAAGTGAAAATTGTTTCCTCCCCGAAATTCACATTTGCAACCATTACCGTTTTATCTTTTAAAAAGCAAAATAAATGTATCCTACCAACACTGAACTGTGAGGTAGAAGAAATAGGATGTTCTTTTCGATGATGAAATTTCTGTTGATCACTCTACCCGTCGTTGTAATCCATTAAACTGTATAAGTGATGATTCACTACGACCCAAAGTCCGATTTTATAATTCTTCCACGAAATCTTACTACTGCTAGTAGCGAAGTATCCTTGTTTGTCAGCAGGTTAATGATTGTCAATTCATTCAATGCTGAAAAACATAAAAAACACATTAATCTCCAAACTCTGGTTTGTTTAGATGAGCTGGAAATTCAACATCAAAAATCAGTGATTAAGAAGGATCCGGTACTAAGAATGAAAAGTTCACAACCAGTCGAAAAATTCATTTTATACATATACAGAAGAGCACTAAAAGGAACAAAAACGAAAACAACATATAGGTATTCAGAAAGAATTGGATTCTAAAGTAAAATGGGTATTTCGATTAAAGAAAATTTAAAACAAAGAAAAACACACGAAGATTATGAATGAAAAGTTTAACAGTAAATTTAAATCAAAAGTCTTGTGAGTGGAACAACTACTCTGTTCATTAGGTTAGGAAAAAAACGTCAAAGACTAATAACACGAGAAGAGAAATGAAACACATTGAAGAATATGCTGAATTTATGACAGTATGACAATAAAAATAGGCTGCTTTGAAAAAAGTTGCTTTAGCTAAGCGAATTGAGTTGCTTTAGGATAAAATCACAACTCATTTCAAAGGATCACTGCAATTATGTACAAAAACGTACAGAAGCAAGAAATATAAGCGTGCAACCCAACTATATGAAAAATAGAGATCCTCCTTTTCTAAATTTTCCCAGTGTTAAAATTTCGCTTTAGAAAATACCTTAGGACAGTGTCTTTGAGTAAAATAATTTCACAATTTCTTTAAGAAACTATTCTGAAATGAACACACGAAGTAAACAAATATGACTAGAAACTTAAATCCGATTGAATGTTTCTTTTTAATTCATACAGAAGAATTACACAAAATATAACAGAGTCTGCTCGACTAAATTTCAGCAGCAGCCATTCGAACCTCCTAGTGCCTGATTACTGCTAGGAGAATTGGGTGAACTTGGAGAATGCTGTGGACCAAGTTTGATTCCGTTCGCCTGCAACAAATTATTAATATATTGGTTATAAGGTATGAAAATGAACAAACTGTGCTGCAGGTAAATAAGAAGAACTGAGAATTGCTGGTGGATATTTGCTATATTTCATGAACAATGGCAATAATGGAATCAGATTTGAATCATATTCTAAACCAGAAATTATCGAAAAACTTAAGAGATAAAAAACAACTGCCACCAACACCCTCGCCAACTGAAATTAACTGTGCTTCCTTTCGAAAGAAATGCTTCAAACAGTAGCATGATGTATATGTATTCTGCTGTCCTGTCAGAAAATCATAGCGAGCTATCGAAATATGTTAAAACTCTCAAAATTCTTAGAACACACCTCATTATTGATATCGAAGACGCCTTCCTGTATTTTCCGATAAATTTCTTTTGCAGTATCGATAAATGCCTGAAAATAAAAAAAAAAAACATTCCAAATCACTTTTGAAGCTATCTAAAGACTGCGATGTTCACGATAACAAAAAAAATATGCGACCTCTTCCACATTTGCGGCAGTCTTTGCAGATGTTTCCATGAAAATCAGACCATGCTCACGTGCGAATGCCTCTCCTTCTTCTTTCTTCACCTCTCGTCGTGCTTCCAAATCACTGCAAAATTATTTTTAAAACAATATGAATCATTTCACAAAAAGATTGAAAAACACACTCCCTCCTTTGGTCATGAAACGCAAACAGACAGTTCTACTATAAATCAGTAAAAACAAAGTGGTGACAGTAGTAATATGCAAATACTACAGGAATTTCAAACTGAAAAAGTTTTACATTGAAGAAATTTCAATGACATTTTCTTCATCGCTTAATTTAAAATCGTCAGTTTACCTCAATCTACAACTTCACTGCAATGATAGTTCTAAAACATAGTAAGTTGTATAAACTGTTCCGTTACTAAACTACCGTCTGTTTGTAAATGAATTGAGGCCTATGTTGATGAAAACCCCCTTCGCAAAGAGCATTGGTCACATAGCGATCTTTCAGGTGCAATCATGCTACACCGAGGAAAAAGTTGCACTAATGATTGTTTCTCAATATCAATAAGTCTTTTGACGAATAAAATCAATTTAAAATTTGAATGTAACCTTTTATTCCCAATAAGCATAATAACCATATTAGAATTTGAATGTTGCCGTGCGTCCTCCAACCACGAAGCCAAATGGTTGAATGTGTCACGCCTGAAAAGCATCAAATATTTTGGCGGTTTCTACCAAAGAGCAAATGAGACTATAAAGTGACTGAATTTGATCTTACCAAACCATTACCGTGTTATATCATACACAAGAAGTGCTCCTGCCGCTCCACGGTAATATGAGCGCGTTATTGAACGAAACGATTCCTGACCTGGAAATTATTAAAAATATGCAACTGCTTATGAAATGTGCAAAAGCTAATTTTAAATGAAACTAAGATAAATAAATATACCAGCCGTGTCCCAAATCTGTAGTTTAATTTGTTTGCTATCAATAGTAATCATACGAGCTCCAAACTCCACACCTGAAATTTTATGATTGGATGAATTGTAAACAGTAGGCTTAGGAATCTGAATACTAAGTATGGTTCCTCTCTCATATATAGTTATTATATAGTTATTTATCTAGTTACTTATCGTATAATGCCGATAAGTAACTAGATAAATAACTATATAAAACGTTATCGGCCGTTTAGGTCTTTTAGCCGCAATGGGCTAGGCAAAATTTCTATATGTATCTATTAAAAAAATAAATGTGTCATCCAGCAGTAAAAATTTCATCATCTTAAAATATGGTGATCTCTATTATCAGACTAGATAAATGACAAATAATAGATGGATAATAAGAAGTATCAAATTAACTTTAAGTGATATACCTATCGTTAGATCATGCACAGGTTGGAAGCGCTTGTCGGTGAACTGAAGAAGGAGACATGACTTCCCCACTCCTGAAACGCATTAATTCATAAAAATATGTAAATTCAGAAACAATAAAGTAAAAGTAAACTTTGCTGGTTTCTTGAGATTTGATTATCATAGTAATAATTCTAAAACAACCGCCTTTGATTAATGAATGATATAGAAGAACACTGAGGAAGGACATAAGTAGCTATAACGTGTTTCAAAATGCGCTAAGCTTAGAGACGCATTAATCTCACTTTCCTTCACTAAGCGACACTCGGTCTTTTGCTCCTTAAGTGGTCTCGACATGACAGAACTTCAAAATAAGGAAGTTCAATGGATACGAAATAAACCGAAAAAATCTACCTGTGTCTCCTATTATAATATATTTGAAGAGATAAGCGTATGACATTCGCAATGATAATTAACAGTCTGCAAAAGCACACGTTTTCAACTTTTTTAAATATAACATACACTTTAACAAACATTAAACTTTAGTAAACAATTTTATGTCACCTTCCTCTCTATAATTCCAAGATTAAAATTAATCCATCAGCTGCCACTGAATAGGAAAATAATTTCTTCCCTAATATCTCGGAGAACAAACAATATATATGTATATAACAAAACACAGAACTGAAGGAATACTGATCTTTTCCCCACATAAAGCAATTCCAAGCTAAAGTAGAGCAACTCGACCGAGCTTTAAACACCGCAGAACCCGTCCCACCACCTCCCCGAAACCATCAGCGAATCGGAAATGCAGCATTGAATGAAAGCCACCATCGATTAACAAGCAGTAAGCATTACCATTTAAAAAGAATTTATAACATGAATCATTACATAGATAACAGCTCAATACCGTTAACAAGTTTATCTAAGTATTGTGAAGGTAGCCAACCGACGGAGGGACTGATACGTCTGGGATGTACCAGATTGTTCATACGGAAAGGACTGGATTCAGTTGCCGGAAAGCAATATACTAAATAAACAGAGATTTCGGATTACACGAGACTTTTCATTAAAATAGTGTCCTGCAGCAGCACAAAAGAATATAAAGTTTCTAATTGTTAAAATAATATGCAAATTTACTTATCGCAAATATAATACTGCGCAGGAAAAATGAAGGTCATTTCACACATTTTCATCTTTGCATTGCTGTTTAACTGACGAGATTGTCTATAAAAAGTGTATGTGAGAAGGATGAAGGAAAAAGAAAAGGAAGGTGTAAACCGAGATTGATCATTTTACTGAGAATAATTAGTTGGTTGCTGAAGCTGGCGTTGAAAAATTATTCTTTATTGTTCAAATCCTTCCTCTCAATCAGTTTTATTCTTTCAGACAAAAAAGTGGAAAATGAAGGAAGACGGCATAAGGAGAGCAATGGTGATGAAAGAGAAATGCAGCAGCAAATATCAACTTCAGAAACAAAAGAAGAGAAGAGAGCTAATGCAAAAGAGAAAATAATAAGCAATGTGACGGTCGGTGCTAACAATGCTGCTGTAAATGTGTACGACAATTTTTTCATTGCATTTGGTTAATTCGAAATCTGAATCTGATTTAGTGCCATATCATCAACGTCACCCATTAGTTACAGTAAGCTTTAAAATTAAATCAATAGGGAGGCTAGTATGTGAAAGATTTTATATCCAAATGTGGATCACTCAGACCTCGATGAGTCAGACCGTCGCAATAATTCGGTTCATTTAGATCAACGGGATCATCACACGATTCGCATGTTGAAGATGAACATAATCAGCGAAAAGTGGATAGATTTATAAAATCTATTACAAAATTCATTTATCATGATGGCTCTGTATGTAATCGTACAATAAGCGCATGGAGTATGTTATACTGATTAAACTAATAATTTAATTTGTAGAAGATACAAGCTGAACAATGGAAATAGATTGGATCTAGATGGAAAGTTGAAAGTTTCGATAATGATGGTGATAACAATAACAATAATGATGATAACATTCAGTTGTTACGATCTCATACTTGCTGTGCATATACATTTCTCTTGCGTTACTAGTAACTGGGGCTATATATATAATGTTACACAGCACTCGAGATGCACCGGTGTATTACGGCGAGACTACTTTCATTGGTGGCGTACCAGGTATTATTAATAATAATATCATTAGAAGACTTGTAGATGATTCATTGAAATTTGAAAAACCATTAAATTTGTAAAACTATTCATGACTACTAATTTGCAATGGTGAATTAAAGTTATAATTAGTCGGTTATAATCGCTGTTATTACTAAATATGTTTTTAATTTCAAATATGTATGTATCTTCAAATTAAAACTTTACGCAGGAATTGGTTTTGAACCCCGAAAGCGTAGCATGAAAAGAGAACAAAATGTTTTTAAATGGAATACTGATGATCCCACATCATATGCTTTCTATGTACAAAGGTTGCGAAGAATTCTGTACGGTAAATCATTATGCTAAATCATTGTGCGAATTTAGAATGCTCGTAATTGTCCTATCATTTGACAAAATTTAGAATATGCGAGGATGGAAATTATGCCAAGCAAATTCAAAATGGATTGCAAGAGAACAATCCTACCACAATTGGGTGGAAAGCCGGTAAAACATTTTTGCAAAACAGATGTAACCAATGCAGACGAGAATTACGGTTACGGTGGTTGTGCTTTAATCAGGAAAGTTTTTTGTTTTCAGTTGTATTAGATCAGTACTGTATTAAATCTGCTTGTATAGGTGCGAGAGAAAGATTGGTTCAAACTAAAAGTTCGAGTCATTGTGATGATTTAGTTGCTAATTCTCAATCTGACATATCTTGCGTAGTATTGAAGAATGGTGAAATAAACATGTTAGAAACAGCTAAGCAATAAAGGAACCGTGCATGATGACTAATCCATTACATTTCTGTTCTTAAACGATAATTTTGAAGTAGTTTGAGTAATATTTATATGTATATAGTATAAAATAGATATCGTCCAAAATTGCCAATAACTTTGAAGAGAATGCGATTCTTTTCTGTTTGATTTGGTGATTTTAACTAAAATTTTTTAGAAATACTAAGTTTGGATACGATATAGGTACACTGTGTGTTATGCTACGTATAAATAAGGCATGTTTTCATTCATTACTGTCCAGCTTTTAGCATTGTTATCAGTGTAGAACCATTCCAGTAAAATAGTTGTTTAAAGAACAATTACATATTGTTTTGTTCAGAGGGCGTCAAATTAGTCTTCATTGACAGGGCTCGCGTAAAAAATGATTGGGACTAATATTAAATTCCCTATCATCCAAACCAAAAGGCTTAATTTAATTATTTATACTTTAGTTATTTGGATATTATCCAGAACAGCCAACATATGACTTATTTGGTAACAGTTCGCTAGATTTTGAAATAAATAAAATTTGTGGTCAAGCACCGAATACAACAGTCTGCTGCAACGATGACCGAATGTTGTTTCAGTGCTCCCCCTTGGTATCATTTTTTGAGATGTTAATTAAACATCTAGTTTTTAGTTATTTGCATTGCTCCATATCGTTGTCAATTATTCTTATAAATTGCTATGGCCATTCAGTGTTGAAATAACAATGCTGCAATTAAAAATAACTCTTTTGTAAGAACAATATTTGTTGAATATTTAATAGGAATATAAGTTTAACAAAATATCGGAAAAGGTAATGATAAATGCAAATTTTTTCATGTCCTTTACATATGTAAGATATAATGTATAGAAGAATAATCAAGTGCAAATAACTAAAACTTATATTTTAGGGGCGTATCAATTAAGTTAATTTGTTCATTTCAAGGAAGAGAATACAAATGTAACGATAGTGCAGTACCCAAAATTTGGTTATCCCTATTGCTTTTATCCATTCAATAAACAAAAAGGTTATATGCAACCACTTATCATGATCCAATTGTTCAATTTGATGCCAAATAAGAGAGTAATGTTTTGTTCAATTTTTGTATTGCCGAAATCAAAATCAAAAATTCCTTCTTCCACATCCCACTGGTTTTTGCATACAAAATGTCGATATTTCTGGCACTCTTTAATTATTAGTGATGAAATGTCAAGTTTTTTTCTAATCTCCAATTTTTTTATTTCGAAAAAGTTTTTGATAGTTCTCTGAAAATGTATTAGTAAAGTTGGAATTTGATGCAGACTGGAATAAAATGCGTGCCAACAGCACCGGACCTCCAAGGAAGATCACTCACGCTATGGTTCGAAATTACAACGAAAAGAAAAAATTAAGCGTGTGCAAAGTTGACTGTTGTATTTTGTACAGTAAATTTCTGTAGTCAATATTTTCGATTTAGTAGAAATGAAACAATTGCTATTTTAATTTACATTCTCAACCGTCACTTCTAAATGACAACGCAATCTCAGCAACAATTTACTGTTATATTAAAAAAGTTGCTACCAAGAGCCGATAAAACAACCATCCATTTAATCTTTTCAGAAATATCTAAAATGGATTTCTAATGGAATTACTATTATTACTGTCTTTGAAATTAGGACAGATGACAATAGATAAGGGTAAAGAAGTAAATTTATATATTAAAGAAACCGGTTGATAAAATCTTCAAACAATTCTCATCCGGATAGATATGGCATGCAAATAGCTTACGAGCAAGAAATTGAAGTGGATTGCTCGGATATTCTACTTCCTCATTTTTCATGTATTCAAATAAAAAATTTATATATTAGAACTTTTTATGGAATCACTAATTTTGCTTTCTAACCTAAAAGTTTTCCTTCTTTTTTTGCTTTCTTGAAATCCGATCTCTGCTTTCAAATCAATTTGTTCGGAAAAAGTTCGCAGAACAGGATGCTAAAATTTTAAGATTTAAAGGAAAAGTAATTCCAATATTTGAAAAAGTTTGAGTCATCTAATGATTTTACATTGAAAGTTGATCGTTTTCTTTTATGTGTAAAGAAATTGTTTTCCTGATTTTATTTTCCTGGAAACGAGCTGATCGGTGGACACTATCAAATGATCTAAATGAAGTTACTATTGTGAAAGCGTTGTAGATTATTGATTGGTGTTGATTTACAGATAAATTATTGTTAAGATTTATTTTACAGTTGGGAATTATATCCGAATAATTCAACAGACGAAATGGAACGGATAGCAGCATATATAATGATAATTGCTAGGCGAATAAGCGTATGAATGTTGAAAGATGTGAAAGAATGCGAAAGGAGTCCGATCGAGCATTTCACTGTTTATGTACCCAATATTGGACCGTATCAGAATAATACATAATGGGGAGAGAGAGTTTATGACTACGTGTTGGCTGTATTCTTCTCACGTAAGAGACAGGCCTGGTAAAGCTATCTCAATGATATTATAGCAACACAGAGAGGTCGTGTTACAAATTTCAATAAAGACAAAATTTTTGTGAAGCGCAGCTTCTCGGCCTAACCCTCATTCTCAGTCCATGTGATGAATAATTTTATC